TAATGTTACCAATTCCTTTCCTTTAACTTGCTGTTAAACACAAACTTTCTGGTTACTAATTTAGATTGCATTCAAACTCATTTCCCCGAGGGGGCCACATTTCACCTTACTTTACAGTATGTGGACCAGATGATCATGAGCAGACCAAAACCACATCTTATTAAGGCAATAGTAGGGCCATATGGTTGACATAGAAAATGTAGGTGGCTATTTCATTCATTACAAAAACACAATAATAGAAAAAACCTGTAAGAGAGTAAATGATGATCTTACAAGACGGAGGACTAATTTATTTAATCATGTAAAATAGCCAACTGTAAGCCTAAAATAGCAAATATGCAGTATGGTGCAAATAGGAGTATGGCAGTGTGCTATGTGTTTTCACCCCTACTCTAGGTAAATATTTTCTTATTAAATTTTCTATAATACACTCTGTGCCTCCAGTTACATCTAGCAGAAATTGGATTCTGAGTATGGAAGTAGAGGCCTCTATGGAGTTAGTACTCTTCCAGTCTTGGCTCACAGATGGTACTTTTTACACTCATTTGCCAGTGAAAATATGCCCGAGTCCCTTTCTGAATGCCCTCTGAATCTGATCCGGGTTTTGGGCTATGTGTGAGCAGTGAAGCAATCAGATCCAATGGGTTAATAATTCATGTGAGTGTTTGTGTGGGCCAGGCCTACAAGCCACACACCTAGGAGAATTGCCACTCAAGGAAGCCCAATGCCCAGATTTAGGCCAATATGTATGCTGTGAAACACCTGGATCCATCAGGTTAATAAGGATAAATTGGGTAGATGTTGGATGATGCACAGGACTGACCTACAGGTAGACCATCACCTCCTGTGTGCTGGAACAGTTGTGGTCCTAATCACATGCAGCACTCGTAATCCAGTGATAATACGAGAGGTAGTCTAGAGAGAGGGAAAGAAATAGTCAGTTTAGAATTTCATTTTTTACAAAATGATGCAAAACTTATAACATTTCCTTATACTTTAGAAAGATAATTGCATAAACACTATAGAAAAAAAGTGTGAATGGAGTTGTAGTTTTTTTATATGATTTGAAAGAATTTCAAGTATGAGTTGATTTTTGCTCTTTATTTCAAAAATGTTTATTTGGAATGCTTAAATTTTCGATACATATACTACTTAGACATATATAATATAGAAATTTAGAAAGTCTGACCATGTTGAAGGAAGCTCTTATGGCCATTTTAGTCACAATCTGTTTGGATCTTATGTGGTGTAATCATATATGGTAATGATAAATTTCTTTCGTGAATTCCCACCCCCCCAGAATTTTCAGAACAGGTAACACCCTATCAAAGGAAGGGAAACCCCTGATTTTTTTGATTTTTTTTTATTTTTTATTTTTTTCCCAGGTCTTCCAAAAATGGAGGGATTAATTCATACTGAGTGTAGGATACTTTATAGGGCATTTCTTAGCATATTTGTAATTTGGTATTGTGGATTAATTTAAATATGTTATTTTCATTCTTTAACCAACTAACGCCAGTATATTTTGAAGCCGAAGTAAAAATTTCCGGGTGGCTACAGAATCAGTGTGCAGGGCTGGCTCGGACTCTGCCTGCGAGCCCCAATACAGCGTCACACTGGCGGGACATTTTCCCCCCAGGTGTCTCATGTGTGGGACACCTGTCATAAATGAGTTAAAATAACTTTTGGAAATATATTTATATTCAAGTATTTATGGCTAAATGTGCACAAGTAGAGTTCATGCAGCTTCTTTTGTTTTTGTATGTCAGCACACACACTAGATGCTCTTTTGCTATCAGTAACTGGGGGTGTAAATAAAGTAGCTATTATTATTTACATTATTTTGAGTAGTATTAATGCTTATAGTGTTATTTATGGTTATGGTTAAAACTGTATTATTAATCTCCCACCTTTGTAGAATGAAATGGTAAAAAAAAGTTATTGAACATTAAATGCATTGGGGAAGCAAGAATTTTGTATGTGTTAAAAGTGATGAAAGTAGCAGGCATTTAACCAAGAGATAAATATAGTTCTAATTTGATTCTGTAGATTGTTATAAAAATGATTACCTAACATATATTTTTTTTCTTTATTGTGCATTTATATTTACAAATTTTTGGAGGGTTCTTCAGAGGGAACCAAGAAAAGCAAATTAGAATTATAATAAAATTAGTTCTTATCTAACAAATTTATAACAAATAGAGAAATTAAAGAAAGACATGAAAATTAATTAAAGAAAAAAATTAAAATTAAAGATAGATAGTTATCCTTTCATACAAGTTTATCTATTTCTGAGGTACCCAGAATGTGAGGGGAGACCACCAAAATGAAAAAGAAAGAATATCCAAAAATGTTCTGAATTAAATGTAAAAAATAAAATGACAAGGTAAATAATTGAATTGAATTGATAAGAAATAAACAAAAGAAAGGAATTATAAGTGACTGACATTACTAATGTTTTATAATTAGAAATTCACTATACAGAGATATTTTCATAGGA